GTGTGTGTGTGTGTGCGAGAGAGAGTGTGTGTGTGTGTGTGTGTGTGTGCGAGAGAGAGTGTGTGTGTGTGTGTGTGTGTGTGCGAGAGAGAGTGTGTGTGTGTGTGTGTGTGTGTGCGAGAGAGAGTGTGTGTGTGTGTGTGTGTGTGTGCGAGAGAGAGTGTGTGTGTGTGTGTGTGTGTGTGCGAGAGAGAGTGTGTGTGTGTGTGTGTGTGTGTGCGAGAGAGAGTGTGTGTGTGTGTGTGTGTGTGTGCGAGAGAGAGTGTGTGTGTGTGTGTGTGTGTGTGCGAGAGAGAGTGTGTGTGTGTGTGTGTGTGTGTGCGAGAGAGAGTGTGTGTGTGTGTGTGTGTGTGTGCGAGAGAGAGTGTGTGTGTGTGTGTGTGTGTGTGCGAGAGAGAGTGTGTGTGTGTGTGTGTGTGTGTGCGAGAGAGAGTGTGTGTGTGTGTGTGTGTGTGTGCGAGAGAGAGTGTGTGTGTGTGTGTGTGTGTGTGCGAGAGAGAGTGTGTGTGTGTGTGTGTGTGTGTGCGAGAGAGAGTGTGTGTGTGTGTGTGTGTGTGTGCGAGAGAGAGTGTGTGTGTGTGTGTGTGTGTGTGCGAGAGAGAGTGTGTGTGTGTGTGTGTGTGTGTGCGAGAGAGAGTGTGTGTGTGTGTGTGTGTGTGTGCGAGAGAGAGTGTGTGTGTGTGTGTGTGTGTGTGCGAGAGAGAGTGTGTGTGTGTGTGTGTGTGTGTGCGAGAGAGAGTGTGTGTGTGTGTGTGTGTGTGTGCGAGAGAGAGTGTGTGTGTGTGTGTGTGTGTGTGCGAGAGAGAGTGTGTGTGTGTGTGTGTGTGTGTGCGAGAGAGAGTGTGTGTGTGTGTGTGTGTGTGTGCGAGAGAGAGTGTGTGTGTGTGTGTGTGTGTGTGCGAGAGAGAGTGTGTGTGTGTGTGTGTGTGTGTGCGAGAGAGAGTGTGTGTGTGTGTGTGTGTGTGTGCGAGAGAGAGTGTGTGTGTGTGTGTGTGTGTGTGCGAGAGAGAGTGTGTGTGTGTGTGTGTGTGTGTGCGAGAGAGAGTGTGTGTGTGTGTGTGAGAGAGAGAGAGTTAAGTTATAGTGAGCTTGTTAATAATAATAATAATTTTTATTATTGTTGTTGTTACTGTTAGTACTATTATTACTACTAAATAGAAATATTATTATATTGTAATAATATATTACTACTATTATTATTGCTAAATAAAAATACTACTGTTGTAATATTAAGTGTAAAATAAGAGTATATATTGGTCGGGAGTTATTTAATAAAGAAGTATGAGTTCTGGTTCACCCTGTATCTGCATCATCGACAGAACCGGAGCAGTGTGTGTGTGTGTGTGTGTGTGTGTGTGCTGCTTTTATTATTAGTACAGTGACATGTGCTGGTGATGATCGTCTGCTGTGTGTCTCAGGAGATTCTCCATCAGGACTGTCGATGGAGATCGCAAGCATGCTGTTGGCCGTCCCGGGCTTTGAGATGGACCCGTTCTCCACAGACGACCCGCTGGCGCTGGAGGCTCTGGGCATGCTTTCAGACGGGGACCTGATGCTGGCCGACCCCGCCGTCGAGGACTCCTTCCGCTCCGACCAGCTCAAGTGACTCGCAGAGAGCGTTCGAACACAGACAGAGAGGTGCATGTGGCACTTTGGGTCGAGCGCCGGCAGGTCATGTGACTTGGGTCTAAGCCGCATGCTGACGAATGCACTTGTGCACATGCGCTTGCACTGTGAGCTTCTGCCCTTTAACCCTGCGCTTCTCAGACGGTCAAAGCCACACGATCCACTTCCTGTTACAGACCAATCGCAGTCACATGCCTCCACCGAACGCTGCTCAGGTGCTTCAGTCCCAGCATGCACTGCACCGCACCAGGTTAATGCAGAACCCACACAGGCGTGAGGGTGTGTCCCAGACATGTCTCGGCCAATCATGTGAGTCTGGGGCGGGGCTATCAGGCTGACTGACCAATGACGCAGGGAAATACTCAGGTGACCCGTTTGAAATCATCATGTTTCACCCTGGTTTAATGTGGCTGTGTTCAGAATAGCGTACTATCATGCTGCAGTATACAGCACGCACACTGTACTCAGTACGGGAAACTCTACAGTGCACAGAGACTGTGTCCCAAAATGCAGTTGTGCTCAACAATTTAAAATAAACGCATATTTTTATTTCAGATAAACTCGGATGCAACTGATGCAAAAATGCTTATTGTGGAATAATGCCTTACTGTGTATGAACTAATGTTATTATGTATATTTACATGTATTAAAGGAGTAATGGAATATAATTACAGTATTTTTGTGATTAAGCTATAGTGTTTTTGCATTTATACTAAATAGATTTTTTCAAAGCAGCAAAATAACAATCAATGATGCAGAACTCATCAAATATGAGAATTCAAATCAGCTCAGGTTTGTACAGATTAGTATGCACTGTATAGTGTGCAGTGTGCAGGGAGCTGGTATTCTGTTCTGAACACAGACTGTATCCTCGCCTTATTTTGCAGAAAAATAAAGAATATAAGTGAATATGTGCATCAGACTGTGTGACATAATTTCCTTCATATATATATATATATATATATGTGTATACAGTATAGTACTTGTCAAAGTTTGCAAACATTCTTTTTTTTATTAAGTTTCTTCTGCTCACCAAGGCTGCATTTATTTAATTAAAAATACAGTAAAAACAGTAAAAAATGTGAAATATTATTCTAATCTAAAACCGCTGTTTTCTATGTGAATTTATATTAAAATATAATTTATTTCTGAGATCAAAGCTGTATTTTCAGCATCATTACTCCAGTCTTCAGTGTCACATGATTCAAATATGCTGATTTGCTGCTCAGTTATTAAAAATGTTTATTATTTTTATTTAGTTTTTGCTGCTTAATATTTTCATATTTTCAGGATTCTTTGATAAATATAATGTTAGAAAATTCGGGTTTGATCACATTAATAAAATATATTTTATTATATATTCACATAGAAAACATCGATTTTAAATTGTAATAATATTTCAAAATTTTACTGTATGTTTGTAATATTATCTCACAATTATTTCACAATTTTTACAGATGTTTTTGTCGTATTGGAGACATTTGTGCTCGTTAAATCTTCTTATTTAAATCCATTATAACGCCAATAATCCGTACCTGGCATACTAGTGGAAGTTGGCGTTTGTACAAATATATAAAATGAATTAAAATCCCTGTGACGTAATCATAAACATCTGTGACCGAAGAGTAACACGTGTGACGTGACAGCGTCATGCGTCACCTCCGCAGCGTCACAGTGCGCCGCAGATAGACGTGCTGATAACAGAGTCTGAACAAAACGATTACAATCAGAATATTCATCACTCGGGCTGATCAGAAGCCGTCTGCGGGCGTCAGTGCGGTTGTTGTAATGCGGCTCCGCGCCGCTGGGCGTCAGTCCGCGCGTCGCGTCTGCAGCTGTTCGGAGCTTTCTGTCCGTGATGGCGGAGCGCAGCGGCGACGGTCGTTCCGCGCAGTGAACTCGAGCCCGAACGCGTCCCGGTACCGGCCGCACCGAATGACAACCGAGTGAGTCGGTATGAGCCGAAGCTTCAGGATGAGATGAGAGCCGAGCTGAGCCGAACCGCGCTTCTGCTGCTGAGGTCAGTCCCGAACCGAGCCGACAGCAGCGCAAATCGCTTTATTAAGAATGACAGCTGTAATAGACGCGTGTGATTTAAACATGAGGTGTGTGTGTGTGTGTGTGTGTGTCTGTCTGTGTGTGTGTGTGTGTGTGTGTGAGTGTGAGTGTGTGTGTGTCTGAGTGTGTGTGTGAGTGTGTCTGTGAGTGTGTGTGTCTGTGTGTGTGTGTCTGTGTGAGAGTGTGTGTGTGTGTGTGTGTCTGAGTGTGTGTGTGTGTGTCTGTGTGAGTGTGTGTCTGTGTGTCTGTGTGTGTGTGTCTGTGTGTGAGTGTCTGTGTGTGAGTGTGTGTGTCTGAGTGTGTGTGTGTGTGTCTGAGTGTGTGTGCGTGTGTCTGAGTGTGTGTGTGTGTGTGTCTGAGTGTGTGTGTGAGTGTGTCTGAGTGTGTGAATGTGAGTGTGTGTGTCTGTGAGTGTGTGCGTGTGTTTGTGTGTGCGTGTGTGAGTGTGTGTGTGTTTCTGCGTGTGTGTGTGCGTGAGTGTGTGTCTATGAGTGTGTGTGTGTGTGTGTGTGTCTGTGAGTGTGTGTGTGT